CCCCAAAACCCCAAAACCCCAAAACCCCAAAACCCCAAAACCCCAAAACCCCTTTCGATAAGAGTCATACTGAAATTCTATAACACTGACAACTTTATTTAAAAAGGCTTCGCCCAAGAACAGAATTATTTTTGATCTTTGGCAGAATGATGTTTGAAGTAGAGTTAGTACTTGTCCCTAAAGATGAAATATCTTTGCTTTTCCCTATAGACATGCTTTTGTTCACGCTTAGATTTCTTCCTTTAGCTAACCTTTGGTGCAGGTTAGATTTTTTACCAGAATTATCCAAATATTCTAAATTTTAGGAGAGGTTGTTACCATTATGAGCAATTAAAGAAGCACTTGAGTTTGATCCATTGCCTAGAATCTTCTTCATTCCCTTGTATCCCAAAGAGGTTTCAGTATCAGCTGTGTCTATCTCGTATCTCTTATTGGAAAATTTGGGTACCTTTCAGTTTTCAAATAATTTTGATAAATTATTTTCTCACAATAGGTATCTCTCTTTTCTTTGAATTATAGACCTTCGGATCTTTCAGGCTCTCCGAATAAGAATAAGACAGATTTATTTTATCTTCAGGCTCATTATTATATGGAGCGTCGTTCTTGAGAGAGATTACAATATTACTTCCTTCTTCACCAAGAATACTGTTCCTATTCGGACGATTCTTTAAAACGGATTTATTTAATCCTGGCCATTGCTTGAGAAATCTCTTTCTTTCCATTCTCTAAACCATCAGCAATAATCCTACTAATTCTTATGTTATTTCCAGCGGTTCTCTTTCCATAAGGAGAAGACCTAGCAGAGACCTGAAACTTATCAGTCAAGCTAGGGAAGGAGCTTTCTGCTTTATCAGAGCCAGGAGATACTAAATTTCTTCCTTCAGAGGCCCAAATATGCTTGTTCACTGCTGAGCGGTTGACACCTGCATTCCTATCCGTTTTATTTTTGTTCTTCATTTTCTTAAGAATCCTCTGTTCTATCTCAACAATGCTATTCTGTTGTGTTGGCAGCATCACATCTAAGTGGGATTATAACTAGGCTTACTTTTAGCTTGACTCATTTTAGAGTTTTCACTCTGCTTTTGGAGATCAGCCATTCCTGAGGAGGCATCATCTGGATGTTTCTTCGGATCAACACTTTTCCTTCCATTCTGGTTTCGACCTAAAAAAGGATGAGGAGGGGTAGAATACCAATCCTCTTTTTGATGAAGGACAGTCTTTCGTTTCACTTTATTTGGTTAAGAGAAGTGTTCTCAAGCATGATTTTATGAGAGTTCATTTTAAACTTTTGGTAGATTGATGATTCCCTATTTCCACCCTTCTCCTTGTATTCCTCGTTCTTGGCTAAAGCAGTAGCCATCGGTTGATTAGCTGTATATATTAAGAAAACTGAGAAAGCATTGAGATTGTTGAACTATGAAATCGATCAGTACCTTTGAGAGCATAATTTCAAGAAATTAGCATAAAATGTAACCTAATTTTACTAGAAATGGGATGATTTTTACTAATCAACTGTTTTAAATTTAGTTTTAATTATAGAGTATCAGCCTTCTAACTGAAATATAGAATTAATTTGAGACCTTGCATCAAGTATAAAGTAGATGGTATGAAAGAAAATACAAATTCAGTTATTAAGCTCACATAAAATAATTTTGAATGTGAACATATACTATTACCTTCCTTGTCTTGGCCTAATTTCGACATTTTAGATTGTTTAAATATTTCAATTTGTGTTATTTATAAAGGGGTTTTGGGGTTTTGGGGTTTTGGGGTTTTGGGG